AAAAGAATAAAATGCTTGCGAGATGAGAAAAATAACAAAGTTATAGAAGATGAGTGGCAATGGTTTTCTGATTGAGCTGTATATTTGTGTTTCCCAAATATCTCAGAGACCCTAAGGGTTTTCCTGAGTTAATAAAAATGGATATGCCTGTCTTATTAAAAAAAAAACAACAACAACAAAAAAAACTTTATTTACAAAAATAAGCAGCAGGTAGGATATGGCCTGCAAGCCATAGTTTACCAAACCCCTGCGCTAGACCCTCAACATCTAATGGAAACCAAAGCTCCCAGAGCCATCGCCTGGCCAAGAAAGGTGCTCCCACCCCCTCTAGCTCTCCTTCATGGAGGTCTGAGTCTGCCAACACCAGTAAACTAGAGGGTGCACAGAGAGAAGACCAAGAATACAAGGACACAAGAAACCATGCTCAAAAAGACTTGAGAATTCCCACTGCTATCTTTTTAAAAATATATACACATACATACATATGTATCATCCAAAAGTGTGTGTGTGTGTGTGTGTATAAATAAACAAAAATATTGTAAAAATTTAAATGATCTATCCCAAGTACTCTCCCAAGGAAGAAGGGGCAGACCTGTTCTTTATGATCCAACCTATGATCCAAGGAGGAAGAATAAGGCCCCAGGGGTGGAAGCTCCATGCAGGAGGAGGAGGAGGGTCTGTATCGAGTTCAAGGACAGGTGGGATCCCTGAGGCAGGCACTGGAGCCCTAGCTGCCAACTGCTGGCAGGGGGATGATGCTGAACGTCCAGAGAGCCTGAGGGTGCAGGGTTAGGATCCCCCCAGCTGAGGCTCCAGGACTGGCGGGCCCCAGACGGTGCACAGGCAAGGCCCCTTACCTTTGCTCTTCAGGGTGTTAGCCAGGGGCAAGAAGTAGGTGGTGAAGAAACCAAGGCGAGTTTCCTGGACGTGGTCCCGGATGACAGGCAGCAGCCAGCTCCGTGGGAAATCCAGGGTCTCTCTGAGAGGAGAAGAAAAGGACCAGTGGGGCAAGGGGGCAGCGTTGCCAGTGCTGACTAGGGAGCAGCCTCTCCTCTGGCCTCGCCCACTGACCCCACCAGCACACAGACTTCAGCCCCTGGAAGTGAAGGTCAGACTCTCCTGGGGCTCACAAGGAAGGTGAGCAGGGCTACACTCACTCAGAGCCATCGATTTCCAAAGGCACAGCCTGCAACACCACCTCCGGTCCCATGTTGGTCACTGCAGCCCCCACTGCCTGGTCCAGTGCTGCCGTGTGGGGGAAGTGAGGGGACAGGCGCAGATCACACAGAGACTGGAGGCACTGGAGCAGAGAGGCAAGATCCTACATCAGGGCAGCTCCCTGAGCAGGGATGGTGGCTGAGCCCAGTGTCCAAAAGGATGAGGTCTGAATTGTGGGCCAGGTTAATGCTAAGCCAGAGTCACAAACTGACAGCCAAATTCAGCCCACTGATGTTTGATCCCCCACCCCCAGGGTTTACTAGACACATGGCAACGTGGGACAATCAGATGATTCTGCATACACATCAAGACTTCCAGCTTATCTTAAAAGCAGGGAGTCTACAAAGGCAAGGATGACCCATAGCCCTCACTGCTGGCATGGTGACAATTAGCAGACTAGCAACCACTAAGGAGAAGCTGGCCCCTGGGACAGCAACAGATCTGTGCCTTGGTTCCCAATAGCCCCCACCCGCCAGCCTCACTTCTTACAGACATGCCCCACTTCTTGGAGGAAGCCAAGTTGGTCACCTCCATCACCAATGGTGCAGGCCAGGTCTCTCAAAGGAGACTCTACCCTCCCAGGGTTGCCCCTTTCTCCCAAGCAGCAATGGGAGTCAGCGAGGAAGGCCATATGAGGCCATGCGTTCCACCCATGGATGGGGGTGTCTGTGGCCTGTCTCCTAGTCTGGGGTCTGCTCAGGATTCCTACACAGTGGTGACCTCCAGCACACCTGTTGCTGCTAGGTGTCACAGAGTCGTTTTTTGACTCCTAGCAACACTGTGTGACAGAGTAGCACTGCCCCGAGGATCTTCTAGGCAGCAACCTTTATGGGAGCAGATTGCCACGTTTTCTTCTGTGGAGCCGCTGGGTGGGTGTGAACCGCCAACCTCTGGGTTAGCAGCCAAGCACTTAACCATTGCATCATCAGGGCTCCTTCGGTTGGGACCGGAGGCTGCTTAAAAGCCAATAGTAGTCCTAACTCATAATAGAACATTTAGACAGTTGAGTATGAAAAGGTAACAAGACGGGAGTGGGGGAGAATCACACTGGTTCACCAGCCAAGACCAGTGGGCAGGTGGAGGTGGGGAAGACTCTTCCCCTTCTTTTTTCTCTCTCTTGAATCCATTCACCTTTCTGGGTTCTCTGTTCTCTATTGGGGGATAGAGTGTAACTACCACAAGAGACACATCCCACCCTCCAGGAGCCCACAGCCCAAGGCCTAGGGGACCCAGAAGCCCACACACATCCCCCAAGCACCATGTTGTCCCCGGGCCCCCCAGCTTCCACCTTACCCTCTTCATCACAGGATGGGCCTGCCGCCCACAGGCCTGGAAGAAAACACACAGCAGCTGCAACACAGAGCTCCACGCTGCGTGGAATTTGTACGTCAGGCCTTCCTCCACTGCCCTGTTGAGGGAGCAGGCACAGTCAGGCCATATTCCTGCCCACCCTGGGCCCCAACAAGGAAAAACTGGCAGCTGGCACCAGGAGCTGCCAGAAAGGGTGGGGCTGCAGGAAGGCAAAGGGAAGGAGCTAACATTTATGAAACATCCCACTGCTCCAGACACTCTGCTAAGAGCTGAATTTATACAAACTTGTGACGTAGATGACTTGTCTCATCTTAAAATGGGGAAACTGAGGCTCAGAGAGCTTGGGTAAGCTGCCAGGGTCACTCTGCTAGTGGCCACACAAGGACTCCTGAGCTTCTGTTTTGCTCACTCAATCTGACCAAGGCAAAAGGGTGGATAGGTGCAGGGGGTCTAGGCAGAGGGGCAAGCTGCCACAAGGAGGGTCAGGCCCAGCCTCCAGTCCTTTCCAGTCTGTGCACCCCTTGGTCAGCTTTATCCCCCAATGAACTCAAAATCACCTGGAGGCCTTTGGTTTAATCTGGGGAAAGAGGTAAAGCTGGGAAAGGGGGTAATTCTATTCCTTGAATTTTCTTGAAACGTCTTCCCTTGTGTATCCCCAGGAAATAGGCCCATTTTCTTGTAAGGCACAGTAACCAAAGCACCACACCTTAGAGCTTAGCACAGACTGTGATGCCGAGGGGACATGAGGATTCCCAGCCCCTTCCCAGGAACAATCAGGTGTGTTTGTGCTGAGGTCCTGCCCTGCCCTATGGAGAGGGCAAAGGTGGGTGGCGGCTGTGTCTGTGATGGGCTCTCTTGCAGGTGTGGAGGGCTGCACAGCACATTGAATAAGAGGGGACTCTGTGGACAGGCTGACACTCACCGGGTAAGCTTCTGCTTCCCCATCGGTAAAACAGGGTTAGTATCTAACTCCTAAGGAGCCCTGGTGATACAATTACATGTTTGGCTGCTAACCTAAAAGGTCAGTCATTCAAACCTACCAGTGGTTCCATAAGATAAAAGACTTGGTGAGTTGCTCCCATAAAGACTATAGCCTAGGCAACCCTACAGGGCAGTTTTGCTCTGTCATATAGCATTGCTACAAGCTGGAATCGAGTTGACTGCACATAATCACCACCACCTAACCTCTAGATCCACTGGAGTCTATTTATTTATGTATTTATTTGAGTGCTTAACCATGTGCCAGACACTGTTCTGAGAACTTTACAGGTATTACCACATCTCATCCTCACAACCTGCAAGGTAGAAACCGAGGAGGACACTGCAGTATATGGAGGCAGCAAAACTTGCCCAGGTGACTGGGCTTGCAGTCGGCAGAGCCTGCTCCCACAGTTCACCCTTGTAGCAAGCACTATACTGTGCCACTCATCATGCTGCATGCAAGCTCAGTGACACAAACTGAAATCCCATGAAGCACCTGGCACTGTGCATGGCCCATGGTAAGGGACACAGAGGGCACTCGTCAGTGTAACAGATTTTCCACCAAGCACACCTCATGCACCAATGACGCTGATGCCGTGTTCTCACCTGAACATCTTGGCCACATACTGGGCAGGCCCTGAGGCTGAAGAGGTCACAGAGCCGATGTCGGCCATGTGGGGAGCAACACATTCCTTTAGGATCTCCTGCAAAAAGAGGCGACAAGCTGTCCGGGCCCAGGCAGGTCACCAGGGCCACTCACTCTCTGAGGTGACCACTTCCTGAAGCTTTTGGGAGGCCCATTTCCCACCCTGACAGCCTCCTCCCCAGGACCTGACACTGGGAGACAGAGGGCAATGGCAGGCTCTCCAGTACTCTCTGTGCCCTCAGCTGAAGCAGGGCTGGAGAAGCTGGGAAGTGGCAGTACCTTGAGGCTCTGGGTGGCGGTGGCCACCACCTGTGAGTGCGGTGAAAGAAGGCAGGTCATTGCGGTTCCAAAAAAGCGAGGGAGGTGGCCCAGCCCCAGGTCCCGCTGCAACCTGCCAAGACAAAAGACTTCTTTTTCAAGAAATTTGGGAGCCAGTTGTTAAACATAGCCACTATTAAGGGCTTGGGCTTCAAGGGCCTGGGTGACCAGGCTCAACCCTTCACATGGCCCAGGTCCCACACCAATCACTGCTCTGAAGGGCTCCACAGGACTCCACTTGTGGGAGATTAAAAAATATACTACTGTGTCCATAATAACTTTGTGAAGTAAATTCAAACAGGATGTCAGAATATAAAATGAAGAACATGCCTCTTTAACACACCATTCTATACTGATCCTCAGACTCATCACCAGGGGAAATCAAGGTTAAGTTTCTCAAACACTCTTCCAGAAATTTTTATGCATATACAAACATATAAACCAATAATGACAGCTAACATTTATAGAGCACTTATCACGTACCAGGGAGCTCTGGTAATACAGCAGTTGAGGCATTCGGCTAACCAGAAGATCAGAGGTTCGAACTTACCAGTCACTCCACAGAAGAAAGATGAGGCAGTCTGCTTCTGTAAAGTTTTATAGCTTTGGAAACCCAATGGGGTGGTCACTATGAGTTGGAATTGACCGGCAGTGAGTTTGGTTTTTGGTATCACATGCCATGTACTGATACATTAATAGAACAATACCAATTAATTCACTGAAACCTTACAACAACCAATGAGGTAGGTCCTATTACCACCTCCGTTCTGTAGATAAGAAAACAGGCATGGAGAAGTCAAGTCACGTGCTCAAGGCCATGCGGGTAATGAGTGAGGGGTCAAGATCACACCCTGGCAGTGTGGCCCCAGATCACATCATCTGTGCTGTTCCACGCCTTGCTTTTCTTTTGAATCCTGGAGACTTTTCCATGTTGCATGCCCACTTCCACAAAAGGTACTTCACTGCTTAGAAGGGCCAGCAGTTTCTCAACAGTCCCCTCCTGTGGGACATGTCGGTTGTTGCTAGTTTTCTGCCACTTACCCATAGTGCTGAAGCCAACACTCTATGGCACGGAACGTGCTCACTACGGGAGTGGCCTGAAGGATGGACCCTGAGAAGTAGAGAATGAGGCCATCTTGCCATTTTCTGGCACCTCCAGGTGAAAGGAAGCTTGGCGTAGGAAGTCAAATGTGGGCAACATAAACCTGGGCTAGAGACCCTGTGTTCCCGCATGACCAATGAACTTGCGGAGCCCCAGTTTCTTGTTTAGAAAATGACCTAGGACCTTTCTTAGGAGCCCTGTTCGCACAACACTTAAGCACTCAGCTACTAACCAGAAGATTGGAGGTTTGACACTTGGAAGGTGATCTATGTAGGAGATCCTGAATAGAGAGGGAGAATAATGTGGACAAAACTCAAAATCATTTGGAGAAAAAAAAAAGGTGTGGGGGGTCAGGTTTGCTGGTCCGATAGAGCCTGGTAGAACCACTGAGACTATGGCCCCTAGCTGCCCTTCAGGTCTGGAATTGAACCCACACCTGTGGTTTCCAGCCAAGCAAAAGACAGGCATATGAGCTGAACATTTACCTGAGGTAGATACACTCCTTGGAGAGAACAATCATGGGAGAAAGAAGGGCGGCTTATGCACCGGGAGATAGCTCAGCAGCTCCATGAGAGAAGACCTGGTGACCTGCTCCTACAACTGCAGCCTAGAAAACCCTGTGGGGCAGTTCTACTCTGTCAAACGGGATCACTAGGAGTCAAAATTGACTCGATGGGAAAATAAATATATAAATAAAAATAATTAAGAAACTGACTCAATAGCACCTAACAAAACCTTCCTCACAGGGTTGTTGTGGTTAATAACATTAAACAACAGATATAAAGCATTTAACACAGTGCCGGTTCAGAGCAGGGTGTAAGTCCCCTTCAGCTGAGGGGAAAACGGAGTCACAGCTCAGTGGAGTCAAAGGAGGCTCTGACACCCTCGCTCCAGGCAAATGTTCAGGTAGGAAAGCAATCAGAGCTCAACTAGGAGGTACCGTGCTAGCCCATGGCTGATAAAAACAGCCGGTTGTCATCACATGTGGCATGGAAATGCTGTCAGTCCCCAGGAAGCTGAATCACCTTTCCAGCTTTCAGTTCACTTCTCCCATCTACATTGCACAGCAGGTATCCTTGGTACCCTCCACTGATACCTACCTGACCAGGTTGATATGGGCTTTCTCCATGACCTTGAGCCAGGCCAACAGGGGTTGTAAGTCATTCTCACTGGGGATGTAATCATACAAGGCCTGGAGGCAGAGCAGGGGATAAGCAGGTGACTTAGTGAGTACAATCAGCAGCAGCCCCAGGGACACTGACCCTCTCCCGTTCCGAGGGCACCAGTCACCAGTACATGACCCTGGATCTCACACCCCTCTTGGCTTTCCTAGCTCCTGCCCTGCTTGCTCCGAGAACCCTCTTGGTTCTGATTCTATTTGGAAAAGAGCCTCCAGGATCACTAGAAGATGCACCAGGGTCATATACCCTTTTATGAATCTAACAGAAGCCACAGAGCCCCTCTCCAGAAAAATCCATGAGTGCAAATGTACATTTTGCAAACAATTTTGTGGACTTTATACCCTCCCGCCTTTCCTAGATTCATCCATGGATTCTAAAGAGCCCCTGGCTCAAGGTATCTGTTAAGACCATGAGATCAGGCTTAAATCATTTATTAAGTTAATCACAACTAGATCAAGAAAGAACCCCCCACATTCATTCAAGAGCCAGGTCCCCCAAACCGCTGTGGACACTGATGTGACATCTACTTATGTGGTTGGTCTCCCATCTACCTATCTACTGGCCTTCTCTAATAGGCCAGCCCAGTCCAGCCCAATTCAACCTCACTCTGCAAATAAGTAATAGGGCGGCCCCACCAGCCCAGCAGGGCCCTTGCTCCCCCACCATCAGACTCACTGTGATGATCTGGGCGTTGAGCTCTGCCGTCAGGGTGCCTGGGCCGGGCTTGGCATGGAAGAGGCTATGAAAGGCCTGCATGGCACCGGCTGTCACGAGCTGGAGAGGACACAAGGCTAAGTGGGGAATCGCAAAGCCCGTG